TCTGCAGCCTTGAACACAGAGGGAGCGTGGGTTCAGGGTACGCATGCCTGATGGTGGACACCTGGAGTATGGTGTGCACATGCATTAAGTGTGAACACAGGACTATGAGATGATGCCAGAGAGAGCCCAAAGAGAAAATGAACAGATTCAGCTACCTGGCCTCCTGACCCCACTGCCTGCACTGTGCCTGGCTGCCGCATTACAATTGGTGTAGAAAGAGCATTAAAGCCTGTAAAGAGCTGTTGAGGGCTCCGGGACCCTTCTGCCCAGATCCACAGAGAAACTGCCCTGTGCTTGCTGGCACAACAAGAGGGATGGGCACTGGTGGCTGGACAGTCAGTGGCACTGTGTCTGTAAGGAGAAGGAAGACAGCTGAAAAGAAGTGGCTTTAAAAAGTCAGCAGCTACAATGACACTTGGGCCGGGAAGCAAAGATACCACACCTCCAAATAGAAAATCCACAGTGGTTTTAGAGACTGATCAGTACCATTAAACATCTACGAAACCACATATGAAGCACTGTGGCAAAGGAAGGAGGGACAAATAAGACATAGTCCTCACCTTCAATCTACCTTAGACAATAGGGGGGACTAGCCTCAGACCAGGGAATGGGGGAGATTTCACAGGAAAGTGGCACAAGAGCTGGGGGATCAATTGGCAGAAAGGATTCCAGCAAGTGGAAAAACAAAGTCTTGAAGGGAAATAAGGGGCAGAAAGACCTGCAAGAATGAAGGCACTGTGGTGGGAATGAATACACTGGACATTAGAGGGCAGCGCTGGGAAAAGTCAGGAGAGGGTCAGAAGAGCACCACTAAAACCAGTTCACAAAGTAGGACTGGCAGGATTTCTCCTTTTTTGTAAAAGGGCAAGCATTAAGTGTTTCTGAAGTGAATAATAACAGGTACAAAGAGCCTACTCTGTAGAATTATACATGTCCTAACCCTAACAAATCTTAGAGGGCAGGTGATAATGCTTCAATTTCCAGATGAGGAAAGAACTTCCAGATGGCTGGTGGCTTACCCAGGACCTGCAGTCGGGTACTCAGGACTCCAGAGTTCATGCTCATTCTTTGCAGCCTTTCTCAGCTGGATTTTTTTCCTTTTACCACATGTGGGGAAATAGCTGAGTAACGATTTTCTCAATTCTCCCAAGAATACTATATAACTTGTACCATTTTAGATCCCTGGGAGAGAAGTCAATTCCTTGTATATAACACATGCCTTAGAAACCCAGAACCCTAGTTGAGAAAGGCTGCCAAGATTACAGATATGTTTTGGAAGATGGATCTGGCAGAGGGATCACATCCCTGGGAGGAAATGGCTGTGACAGCGCCATAGCAGCCCTGGAACTATCGGGATGAGTCAGCTCCAGGCTTGAGGGCAGAAGCTTTAGCCACCCTCTCAGTTGTCCTGTCTCTCCACCCCTCCCTCCAACCTTGGCTTGTACTTGTTAGTCAAGGGCTGAAGCAGAACCCACCTGCTCATAAGCCATCAAGAGAGACTGAAGCTGCATCTTCAGAGATTAAACCACAGGGGCCTGTGCGCCCACGCTTTTATAGAGGTCCGGTGTAGAAAATGGACACTAGTTCATTCAGATTCCCTCTGCAGAAATCCATCTGGTAAACTCCTACTAGCCTTCCTGACAGGCTTAAGTGCCCCTCCTCTGGGAGGCATTCTGTGGCTGACTCTACCTCCCTGCTCATCAGGCAGAAGCAGGTATTTCCTCCTCTAGGTCCCCAGAGCCCCTTATCCAGTCTCCTGCCAGAGCACCCACCTTGCTGTCACCACCTGTTTCCACATCTTTCTCCTTCATCAGTTGAGACTCTCTCAGGGTCAGGGACAGTTTGCCTGATCTATCTCAGGATGCTCTGTGGTCCCTGGTCTCAGAGATGGCAACAGACTTGCCCAGAGTCATATCACAGAGCTGAGATTTTAAACCCAGGTCTATCTGATTCCTAAGCCTTTGTTCCTTTTGCAATGTTAGGGGGCACCCTGAAGATGAAGAAATGACCTTTCTGTGCTAAGCACCCAGCCCAACTCTGTTAGAGCTTAGTAGAGGTGCTATCAGAGTGGACCAGGCCTCCAGGAGAAGCTTCCTCAGAGAGGGAAGCCTTGAACAGTTTGAAGGGTCTAAATGAGGAGGGGACACATGGGGTTTTAGGCAGAGTGGAGGAGATGCAGGCAGAAACAGAGTTAAGCTGTTAGATAGGAGTGTAGATTTCATATGGGGAGGGTTGGGATTACAGTGGCCATGGCAAAACTTTGATTTCTTTATATAGTCGAAATGAGAACTACAAACCACAGAGCATCTACCAAGTTCCAGGAAACTGAGGGACAGCATCACAAATCCTCACATTATCCCTGTGATAGTTTCTAAGTACTATTTTCTGGATAGAAAACAGAGGCTTAGAGAGTTAAGGCAATGTGTCCAAGGCAATACAGTTAGTAGGTGGGAGATCTGGAATTCAAACTCAGGCTGGTCTCACTCTGAAGCCTGAGGTGTGCTCTCTATTAACTCCATGCTGCTTCCTAACGGGCCAGAAAACACCCCACATGGTCAGACTGATGCTGCTATGGGGACCTCCCAGCTCTCCCACAGGTATAGCTGGCCAGGGAGCAAGAACAGCTGTCCCCTGAGTTTTTTCTCAGATCTGGGGACACAAGTCCCTGTGGACTAAGCAATTCCAAGGACAAGGGTTCTGTGTGGACCTTGTGAGCATTGGTTGGCCCATGTGTCCACGCCAGCTTGGATTTCACAGAGAGCACTTCCCTCGAAGTCGCAGCAGCAAAACTGGTAGCAAATGTAAGTTAAGAAAACTGGTAGGTCAGAAAGACAGACCCCTCCTGCTGTCCCTAAAATCCTCTGAAGAAGGTCAGCTGAGGGCAGAAGACTTTGGAAATGCTACTGGCAACAGCCCCACGGACAAGGGAGCAGGATCCTGTCTCTCGGTTGGCTGGTCACACACAGGCAACCAAATGAGGTCGAGGCGGGAGGGAGGTCAGAAGTTGGCAGCCTGCGGGCCCTGAGTGACGGCCACTTGTTCAGGTCAGGAAAGGAGAAATGGTGGGTTAATGGTTTTGGCCCTTGAGGCTGGAAGACCAGAGCAGGGGGTGTAAATGGATGCTGGGTAAAAAGGCAGGTGGGTGAACTGTAAAGGTTGGGGGCTAAGGGCATCTGTTCCATGTCAACAGGCAGGAACCATGCCTCCAAAACAGCTCAAAGGGCCAGCCCCTTGGCCTGGGGGGTAAAGATGGGGGGAGCTTCATAAAAGCCCCATGCCTCTTGATTTCAAAGGTGTTCGATCTGGAAGGCTGGGAAGAGGGTCTATTTTTAGAGTGACTTCCCTGTCTCTTTGGGGTTGAGGGGCAGCAGGGAATGTAAACCACCAGACAATGGCTGAGGTATTGACTGATTTTTAAGACACAGCAGAGAGAAACCCCATGGTGAATGCTCCAGTTCTTTGCTGCAAATGTCTTATGGAGAGCTTTCCAAAGGACGAAGTGAGCAGCCTCCTGCTAAGGGACCTTTTCTGTGTTCTAAGAGATGTGTGTTCACTCCAAAGCATTCGTCAGCCTCTGCACTGCCACCACAGCCACAAACAGTCCTGCCCCTCATGGTGTGCATGCCCCAGAACAAGTGACATGCTGGCTACTCTGGGCCAGGTTCCCTGCAGGCTGGGGCTACAGCCCAGGCCTGAGTCTAAGCCAGGATGGCTGTGGTTTAAGGAAGGTGGCAGAATTTGAAGGTTACTTGGAAATCCCTCCAGCCCAATCATGTAAGATCATGGGTTAGAAGGTGATCTAGGGGTGTTGGACTGGAAGGGCAAAGGCTTTTGGACTGAAAGAACTCTCCTTGAAGACTGGATCTTGAAAAAGTGATGGGGCTGAAAAGGACGGTTGGCAGAAGTTTCAAAGAAGAAAGTCCCAGCTCATTTAAAAGAAGATATTACAAACAGTCAGAGAAGAACTAAAATGGAATGGACTTCAGGGAAGATGTAGGGTCACCTTGGTCCCCCCACAGAATCCAAGGTACCGCCAAATGGCCAGCTGTTAGGAAGGATTCTTCTGGGAGTAGAGGGAGGCAATCAGAGTGACACAGAGGATCTCTGAGGACCTGTCCAACTTGTAGGTTCTATTGGCCTTTGACATGGAGGACCTCGTCAACTGACCTGGGAAACACATCCTGGCAAGATGTTTCCTGTCCCGTGAAAAGGCTGGAGTGGGATGCAGTGAAGTGGGAGGGAAAGTGACTGCTTGGGAAGCATCTGGTAGGATGCTAGGTAACTAACTGTACCAGACTTGCATGGGACCAGACCAGCACAACTTGTCCTTCCTGCCAATTAAATCCATGTTCTCCAAAGGGAGGGTATTCAATCGTTCAACAAAGATTTACTGAATGCTTACTGTGTGAGCACTATGCTACCTGTGCTGGGGATGAATCAGCCACGGTTCCTGCCTTCATTATTCAGAGCTAAGTTAGGGAGCATGCTACTGAAAACACCAAAAACACTTTCAGATGTGGCAAGTGCAATGATGCGGAAGAACAGGGCGCCATACCCAGGGTAAGGGGAGGGTCCTAATTTAGACTGGGGTGGGGGTGGGACCAAGGAGGATGTTTTTGAGGCCTGAAATTAACAGGAATCTGAAGGACCCCTTCCTTGTTCTACTAGTCTTGCTCTGGAGGTCATAGAGGGAAGAGAGGACACTCATGGGAAAAGTAACACTCAAGAAAACTCTCAGAGAATGTGCAAACAGGCAGGATAGAATGGTGCCTCAGACACATGTAGGCAAAGAATATTCTCCAGTCACACAAGGGCAAATCACACAAATACACTGTCATTTTCATGAAGGGCAGCCTCCTCTGTGCTTCCACCTTTTCCATCTCCAGGAGGGTAACAGGACTCTGGGGAAGCCTGGCATTTCCAGATTAGAAAGGTTGCCAAATACTCTCTTACTGGCCCCTGCCAGTATACCCCTCCCTCACATTCACCCACATCCTCACCTCCATCAAGTAGCTCCTTGACAGTGCTGTAGTCATCGGCCAGGACAGCGTAGTGCAGGGCCGTGCAGCCCTTGAAGCTGGCACGGTTGTTCAGCCGGTTGTTGAAGTCATCCTCGCGGGTGACCAGGACTGGAGAGGAAAGCAACATAAATGCCTCCATTAGCAACAAATGCCATGAACCACCAATCTTGCCTTTTTCCTCTTGGCATATTAATATACTTGTTTCTGTACTTAATTACTAAATGCCTAAGAACACTTACTATATTTGACCAGCTTTGCTGGGTAAGAGGAAGTAAAACAGGGGCCAGCTCATTTTACAAAGTTTATTCACACCTATTATGTACTAATTCACAGAAGTGAATTAGATATGGCTGCCCTTCATGAGAACGGCAGCATGCTTGTGTGATTAATAAACGTGTTTATAGTAGTGAGATAAATGCCATATTAGATGGGGAATAGGATGGTATAGAAAGCCAGAGAACTTAGCTCAATTTGGGCACCAATAGAGAATCCCAGAGGATGAAAGTTTTGAGGGTGAAAAGGAATAATCCAGGTGATGAGAGAAGGTTGGGCTAACAGAGGGGGGAATGGGGCAGGAGACAGAGGCTGGTCATAGCAGAAGAGTCCAAATCTCTGTGTTCTGAAGATGTTTACAATCTAATGAGTATTATATATTATTTTGTAAAGAGCTTTTTAAATTTAGAAAGCCATAATAATTTTGAAACTACAGAAAAGTGTAAACAAGAAAAGGGATCACTAGCTCAGTAACTTGAGAAACTGCATTTAGCATGTTGGTATATATGTATATATGCAAACATAGACATACACACACATGTATATCTTGCAAAACTGGAATTTACTATATTGCAATTTTATAATCTGCTTTTAAATTATAATCTAAATAAATGCACTATGATGATTTTTTTTTTTTTATGATGATATTTTTGAAGGTAAAAAGACCAGCATATTATGTGGTCAAAGACCTAAAACCACCCAGGCTCAATCTAGTGATAATATATTTGACTCTCTCCAGTTTGATATAGAAGAACCTTTTACAGAATCCTCTGGGTTGGTGACAACACGTGACTCTGTTCACCCAGGATGGTCCTGCTTTATATTGCCTGTTGTCCCAAACAGTCCCAGTTTGGACAATAAGTTGGAAGATTACGCCACTTACCTGTCCTCTCTTAGGAACTGGGACCCTACAGAACAATAGCTTTCCATATGGAAACAACCCAAATGCCCAAAAATAGATGACTGGTTCAAGATGATGTGGTATATATACACAATGGAATATTACTCAGCAATCAAAAAGATAAACTCATGCTATTCATAGCAACATGGATGGAGCTGGAAGGGATTATGCTCAGTGAAATAAGCCAGAAAGAAAAAAAAAATATCAGATGGTTTCAGTTATAGGAGGAATGTTGAGGAAACAAGTAAGAGGTTGGGGGGAAAAAGTAACCATATAAATTAAAAATTAAAATCAATAGGCAACTATAAATCAGAGACACTCTGCAGGGGAGGAGGGAAAAGGATCAAAACAGGAGAGGGAAGAGCACAAGGGCCTATGGCAATGGGTTATGGGTGAATTGGTGGTGGGAATCTCACGGGGACTACACCTTAGAGGAGAAAGCATACATTGTACAAAGAATGATGTAAAATATATATAAAATAAATAAATAAAGAATAGCTATCCTGCTTAGGTAGTAGTTCTTTCCTGCCTCATGCAGATATTATAAGAGTATCTGTTTTATATTCCCTCGTGAGCTGAGTTCCTTTGGGGTGGAATCAATTTCCTTCCCCCTAGCCCATGGCATGGGGCCTACAAGGAATGGATGGGTATAATTCAGTGCAGAAGTAACCTCACCTAGGCAGTCTACAGCACCAATTTCTAAACCATTCTTTTTCAAGTGATCTTAGAAGAGAATCTGTGTTTTTCCCTCTGCAAAACTGATCTTCATATTTAAAAGTTCCAAAAGGCAGAAGGCTGTCTAATTCTAGCAGATTTAACTTACTGGCATGCCACACAATCTAGTTAATTCTCTTGTCTACCTTATATAGTAGGTGCTATATTTTCAAATGTTTTGTCAGAATGAAGTTGGTGGAGCATATAACTAGAGAAGAGACAACACTTTCTCGTGGATTAGTGAACCCGTGGTCAACCAGCTCTTCTGCACCAGACAGGGGCCCTACTGTCCCCTCTACCAAGAGTGATCTGACCTTTCCTGGAGCATGGAGAACAGGAAGAAGGCCTCTGAGTAGCTAATACGCAAGTCTCATGAGCAAAGTCACCGACATTTTTCCCATAAGTGAGTGCTTTAGGATCTAATGTGTGGGTTACTATCAACTCTTAGTTGCAAACAGTGGTATCAAATCTTGGTGAGAGATCTTGTTTCTAGTCCACTGCATGTTAGGAAAAGGAAACAAGGCTGGGGAGGAAGCTGTTGAGTCAAGCAGACTGATTACAATTGAGTGCTGGCCAGGCAGGGAAGGAAAAGAACAGCACAATATAAAGCTGGAGAAGGAATTCACAGAATTCAGCACCTCAAGAGCCCCTAAGGGCTTCACTCAATTGCCACATAGAACATTAACTACTGGATATAATGATGAACCTGAGGAAAAGTGATAGTTGGCTCAAGAAAGCAGGAAGGGTAATCCATTTTACAGAGAAAACACATCATTCATTCAACAAACAACACCTAATGAGTACCAGTGCATGGTGGCGGCTGCTGGAGATATAAAACACAGTCCCTACTTTAAGAAGTTAGTAGTCTAATGCAAGAATCAGACCACTGAACAAATTGCAAAACTTGTTTTGCAAGTGCAGGGATAGAACTATCGTTGGGTGCTTACCATGAAAAGCAGATGGACTTGGGGCCTCTTTGGTTGCGCAGGGGTTAAAGTCAGCATTATAAAGCTATTGGCAGCCACAGCAGCATGAGTTCGATCCCTGGCTAGTGAGCCAACCCACATGGCGCAGCAGACCTCTCCTGTCTTGCCCGCTGTTCCCCTCAGCAGTGTATTTCAGTAGATCTGCCTGTTCTGCTCCCCACTCTGTCTCTGGTGAATCCTCTCATGCTCCACACACTGATCTACACCCCAGTTCTTAAATGCATAAAAAAAATAAACCTTCATAAAAAAACAAATAAAAGCACTGGTCTCGAGGAACACAGTTGGGGCTATCTAGTTCAGGGGCAAACGCCAGCAGTGGCAGCTAATAAAGAGGCTCAGGAGGAGGGCCCCTGCTCACTTCTGAGGTCTCATCTCTCACCATCTGCTTTGTCTGAGCTTTAGCAAATACTATTCCACTGCCTAGAACATTTTCCCAGGCCCCACACCTTCAATCAGCTATCTCCAATTCATTTTTAGGCCTCTAATTAGAAGTCACTTTTTCCAGTGATTCTTCCTAAGTTTGAGGTAATTTCAGCTCCCAAGAGCTCCCCAGTACCTTAGGCATCTCCCCAGTAGAGTATTCATTACATTCTACCGTCATTACCTTTTTACTTGACTATGTTTGTCACTGGGCCAAAAGCTCAATGCGGATAGGTGGTGTGACCGTCTTCTTCACATTGTATTGCAGTGCCCTGCATGGTGACTGGCCATTAATATGCCTGACAAATACTGACTGAGTCAGCAAATAAAAACATAATACATGATATATGAATAATGTCCAAATGGTACAGTGGTTTGGGGAGAATGATGATGATGATGTCAGACATCAAGTGTCAGTGGAGGCAGCAGAGTACCACGAGTGATTTCCAGAGGCAGGCCACCTGTGTCTGGATCCCAGTTCTGAATTTATGGGTGGTGTCATCTTGGCTAACTTACCTAATCTCCCTGTGCCACATTTCTTTATTTGTAAATGGAGATGCCCTCTCATGAGCTAGTATAAGAGTGCAGGGAGACGCGATGAGTAAAGGGGCTCGGAGCAGTGCCTGGCATTCAGTACCTCTCAGTAAACATCAGTCATCATCCTGACTATCTGGTCTTATCCTTTCAAATGTGTATTCTCTCTGTGAACAAAGGTTCCATTTGTGGAATCTTGGATATACTATCCCCCTCAGAAAGGCTCATTGAGCATAAGAATGTAGTTCTGAACAAGAAGCACTCTGGTTACTCAGCAGGTTCTTGTTTGTCAGTGTCTTGTCACCTAACCCTTCTTAACCAGTATTGGTATCCACAGATCATTCACTGGAACTGAGTAGTGCTTTGCAATCTATTAACATTTATAAAGCATTTTCATTTCTTCACTTCAGAATAACCCTACAAGGTGTAAGATTGCTCTCTCCATTTTATAGCTGAGGAAAGTGAACTGCTAAAAAATGCCACTATCAGTTAGTACTAGAGCGTGGTCCCCATCCAGTTCAGCTAAGGCCATTTCACGCTCTTCGCAGGGAGCGCCTTCCCCACATCACCCAGTATCAGTGTCCCAGAGGATCCTACTGAAGCCCCAATTCATTAGGTCTTACAGGCTTCTTTATCAAAAAGTGGCAAAAGGTGGAAAGCAGGGGTGGGGAAGCAACACCGTCTACCCGCACACTCACTAAGGGAGAGGGAGAAAAGACACACTTAGAGGTAGTGACTCCTCCAAGACTGGCTGTAAGGGCAGGAAGGGCATAGTGCAGGTTTTCTATGATCCGAGCAGACGGGGTAAGGAGGAGAAGAGAGTCCTGAAGCCCTTAGTGGCTTTTCAGGCTTTTATTGGGATTTACCAGGCACACGGCAGGCAGGGTGCAAGTCTTAACTCTTTCTGGGCTCTCCGGTGTTCTCTTGCGTTCTCTCTGCTTCTCTGCTCTTCTGCTGGCGTCCCCATGACACCACCCTTATAAGCCCAGTCTTAGCTCAGGTGTACCCACTTATGCATGCCCACACCCTCCTCCAGGTGCCCGCCATCAGGCACGCATTCAGGACCTAAAGGCGGGAAGACAGAAAAGACTTACACTTTTTTACCTTACCCTACACTGGCTCACTAGCTTTTGAGGCCCCATATTTATACCTTGTCCTCAACCAGTGAACCATGGCCTTCCCACCAGAGACACCTGCCAGCCTGTCTCCAGCACAGGCTCCTGTTCCCTCTCGCAGTCACTCCTGTCTCTTCAGTGCCCCCTGACCACAGAGAGAGACAA